CCGCACCAGCCCTCCTCCCCACGCCCTCCCGGTGGCCTTGGCGTCCGCCGCGCTCCTCGGGGACCGGCATTTACTGTGTAATATTTTATTGCTCGCAGGAGGAGGGCATTGGGGTGTACCCGGGAGGGGAGAGCAGCTGCTGAGCGCCTGCTCCCAACTCCGCCTTGCTCTCTGCTTTTGGGGCACTTGCTGGTTTTCTGACTTGTCCACGGGAGCTGCTCTCCAGTGCTCGGTTATCTGTTGATCCTGGGCGTTGTCACTATTTATTATCGCAGCAGGGATGAGAGTAACGTCCTTAGTGTAGGAATGGGGAAACCGAGGCGCGGTGGGACTAGGTGACTTGCCTGAGAGTACCCGGGGGAGAGATGCATCAGCATGACCTGCAGCAGTGTCCGGGCTGGCGTCCCAGATCTGGGGCTCTGTTTACCTACAGCTGTTGCTGCTGAAGTTGGGTGTGTTTTTTTTTCTTTTTTTGCACTGCAAACCGGCCCCTCCGAGCCTTTTTCCCGAGAGGCACCCGCCTATGTTAACCAGCGCCCGGTCTTCCTGTACACAGCTGTTAAAGCAAATCATGCCTCCGATGCCAAAGAGCTGAGCCTTGTCACCTGTCACTGTGAAGTCCCTGTCACTAATGCTGCTAACCCGAGCGTCCCCGCTGGTTTACAGCCTGTCCTGGCTCTCCTCCCTCGGTGGCTGCAGCCCTGCGATCCCCAGCAAGGGCTTGTCCCTTCTTCCCCCATCCCCTTTCTGCTGCTTTCTCACACTTGGCTTTGCTTCCCATCCGCCAGCCTCCCTGAGGGATGCAGTAATTTGCTTATTTTTGGAAGATGCTGTCACACAAGGCAGCGACGCCAGAGAGCAGGGATTGAACGCGGCCACCGCTCAGCCCCGGTGAGGAAGGGGATGGCTGGGGTGAACGTCCACACGGGGTCGAGGTAGCAGGGATGGAGGCAGGACTGGCACCCTCACCCCCAAAAGCATCTCCTGCCACATACCCCTCTATAATCCATCTCCTGGGACCGCCTCAGTCTCAGGGGAGGTGCTGGATCAGGCCGATTTCTGGATCCCGCCCTGCCCGTTTGTCCAGGGTCTCATGGCAGGGATGCTCCTCTCCCCACGGATGCCAGGCTGGACATGCCTGTTTGAGGCATGGGGAAAACAACTCCAGGAACAAAAGCACGGCTGCTTTTGCCGGGAGGTTAATGATTACCCTCCCCGCGGGAGCCAAGGTTGCACCCAGCCCTGGGAGATGAGGATGAGTGGGCACGGTGCGTCCCCTCA